TCCCTTCCCTCCCCTTCCCTTCCCTCCTCATTATTCACTGAGTGCAAACAATGTATTGTGAGTTCAGACCTCTAAGGACTGACAAAGGACTGCTTTCTATATACTACTGATAGAAGACCAAATGTATGGGAAATTCTTGCACATATAAAAACTAATTAAAGCTGTAAAGTAGTCCAAACAGCAGTTTAATAAAGCTTCCAGATTGCAAAATTTGTGGGCTGTCAGTTGCAACTCATTTACACGGCAGGCCAATTTTTTTCCTGGTAGCAAACAGGGGTGGATTTAAGATATTTTAAGGACTTCAAAAGGCTACATTTGCTGACTTACTAATGTTTGACAAGTGTCTACTGTTTTCTAATAAAGCTGATGTACTGACTGTAGTATCTGCTCAGACCAGCAACACGTACCTGCAAGCCAAAAAATCTACTAAAACAACAGACTAGGTAAGGAAGGAATGTGAAGGAACTGCAGACTAGTTTAACAGTAGATGGCCATTCCCACTTATGCAGAGCACCAGCAAGCGCCATTCTCAGTAGACCATGAACATCTCTGGCATGTGACATTCAGCCCATATTCTGTGCAGATAACCTGTGACAGGCAGCTGAATCCCATCCCCAGTCAATATAATCAGTGGAACCTAATGAGTAATTTGGCTCACTCTAAAATGAAGACCCAAGGAGCAATTCAGTTGCCCATACATTTGAGAGACCCCTCGTATCCAGTCTCTCCGTCACCCAGATGGCATTCCAGTAGGTTCTGCGTCTTCTACTGCTCCTATGTCCTGTCTGCTAGCCCTGAGCAGATAGATGTCTTGGCTACACCAGGGTGTCTCAGATGGCCTTAGATGCTTACATGTGAAAAACTGAACAGAGCTGAGAGTTGACAGCTGGAAGTAGCCTCACATTCAGAGGCACTGATCCTCAAGGAGGGCTTCAATCACCTTAGTATCTGCTGGAGGAGCAACACAGCAGGGCATAAGCGATCCAGAAAGTTCCTGGAAAGCATC